GCACCGGCGCAATTACTTCCATTTCGGTCTCCACAACCACTCAGCTATTTGGGGCCAAAAATTTCTCCGTAAACCACAACCTGGTGGTCGCCAACATACCAATTGGGTCCTTTCTTTACGGCTACATGGCGGCGTTTCTGTACCACAGCCACCCTTCCGCCGCCGCCGGAAAATGCATGGGAGTTGAGTGCTACAGAACCACTTTCTTGATATGGGGTTGCTTGTGCTCCTTTGGAACTCTGCTCGCTCTCCTTTTGTTCCTTCGAACCAGAAGCTTCTACTCTGCAAAGCTGCACTCAGCTGAAGAAGATTCAACGTAGACAGCATTTTGTCTTTTACTCCTCATAAGTTCATAACCTATAATATAATATATTTAAATACACAAATTAGTAATTATAAATTTATACACATCATTGTTTTGCGTTTCATAGAATTGTTAGAAAGAAATGAAGTGCTCATAACCATTTTTGTATAACTTCACGTTTTCTAAAATTAATTAAGCAATATCTGCCACCATCGTCTTCCAACCTGATTTTTCATAGATAAATCAATATTTCTATCCTTTTACAAAAAAAAAAAAATATCGATAAAATATGAAACATATATCAACCAAATGTCACTAATATGTACCTAATGTTAATATTAATTATTTTAAACTTATTTAAAAATAGAAAAATATTTATTGGTTAATTTAAATATTTTTATAATTTTGTTTTAATTTCTCTAACTTTTACAGAAATATTTATCGACATCGACACTTTATTGATATTTTCATAAAATTGAGACATCGACATTTAAAATCTTACTTTTAATCAAAAAGTCAGTCAAAACATTAGGATCTCCAAGAAGTTAACTCTTCGGAGCTTTTGTCAGTTTCTAGAGAGTAAAGTCTCAAATCAAAAGGTTTGCATACCTCGTGAGTATTTATTTGAAAGGGGAGACAACTATTGAAGTTTGTGTGTTCAACTCAAAGTTACTTTTGTGATTTTAGGTGTGAGATATGCTAGGAGGCAGAGGTATAGTTAAGCGATTACCATTTAAACGTTAGCGATTAGTTCGGAAATCATGCTACAGAGTCACTCGAATTCAGAAGTTCGACGTTCATCGTTTCCAAACTTTCTCCGTGGAAGACACGCACAGAGTTAAATCGCTAACTCAATAATGACTTGCCTTCTGGTCGAATTCGGCCTTCATCACTGATTTAGTTAATGTTTTTTTTTTAAATAATTATACTTAGTTTTTTTATCATTTTATTGGTAAATCTTTAACCTCCCACTGAAACGTACCTTTTTTTTTTCTTTTGACCATTCATGAAAACATACTTAGTTGTTAGCGAATTTCAAAAACAAAACACACACAAAATATATATATATTATATATATATACTTTTTAATTCTCTTTTTCAAAATTTAGCATAGATTTTGAAAAGGTTTGTAAAATGTATATATGAAAGTAACGTTTATAAACTTAATTTTTATAAACCAAAAAATTAAAAATAAAATAGTTATTAAACTAGAATGAAATTAATGGAAGCTTTTCTATTTCTTCTGCCCAATCAAACAAAATTTCTCTCTACAATTAGACTGTGATCTGCCCTATATGAGCCGGCAAATATTAATGACTCATTAATCTTCCATATATTTGAAGTATTTTATTTATTGAAAAAAAAATATAAATCAGACAAAGTTTTTTAGATTCATCGTTTTTATTTTGGGAGGAAATTTTATGTAAATAATAGATATGATTTTTTAATCTCAAATATTATAACTTGGGACCTCCGTCTTTTAAAAAAATTTAACTCAATAAATAATATATTTATTACTATCTCAAAGTTCTATAGTTCAACTTTAATCCTTATCGGTAACAATCGAACTAAAAGAATGAAATTATTGCTTATTAAATACTCAACTAATTAAATTAGATACATGAGTTAACTAAATAATAGATATGGTTGGTAGGTATTAAATTGCAATTGAATGAATTTGATGTATGAATATAATAATACGAAGCATATAGTAATCTACTAAGACATAAGTGAGGATGCAAAGTATTAGCCACAAAGATGTTTTATTGTCATACTCATAGGGGAAGAAATAATTAAAAACCCTGATTGTTGTTTAGAGCTTCATCACTAATTTTTCCTAATCTTCTTAATTATATACCTAAATATACACTCATGCCTTTAATTATGTTTTATTGCACCTTACCAAACATAGTTGAACTTAAAAGATATATATATATATATATATATATATATATATGTTTCTTTTCTCTTTTTGATATTCGTGAGGGTCCGGATCAGCTTGCGCACTCCTCGATTAATTTTATGGAGTAACCGTTTGACCCTACAAACATTTGGTATCCAAAAACACAAAAGAATTAACTTCTAAGGCAAGTAGCGATCATAAACGTATTATGTCGAGAACTTAAAGGTATTATATATATGTTAATTGGAAAATATAAAATATGGAGCTAAATGGTTATAAAAAAGAATATTAAATTATAAAATAGAAAGTAGCAAGCCAGGTCGGCTTAAGTTATAGACGAGTGAGGTGATCGACTAAGGCCCCCAATCTAGAAAGCCTCGTATTTTTCATATAAATATATATACTACAGTATTGTTATTTATTTATTTTAATTTTAATTTTAAATATAATTAAAATATAAAATAATATATGTCCTTTTATTTATAGTATTGAAAATACAAAGTAATAATATAATAAAACAAAATTGTTGTTGTTTATTTTATAAATAATACTAATTATTATTATTATTTGCTATTTTGCAAGTACCCCTATAAAATTGTGCCCCAATTAATAGATAGAAACTAGGTTAAAACTTTCAAATCAAATTTATAAAAATTATAAAAATAAAAATAAAAGGAAAAAAAAAAGTAGGAAAATGAAGTGAGAATTAAGGGCCCACAAAAGAAATCCAGTTTGAAAAAGGAGAAGAAGTCAACAGATGGGGCCCGCACCAATAAGCTTCCCCATCCGAAACCCATCCGCCATCATCTCCCTCCAACGTCACCGTTTTGGCTGATGAAAACATGACCTCATGCTGACGCAGTGCTCATCTTGCGACAATGTCGATATCCAGATTTTAATTTTAATCAACATATTCCTGTAAACCATAAAATTTATAAAAACTATTTCAAATTAATAATTCAATTCTTTTCACTCTCTCTAAATAAGTTATAGATATTAATATTAGTATTTGTATTTATATTGGCCACTAATTGATGATACTGTTATATTTATGTAGATATTTATATGAGGTATAAAAATTCCTTACTTTGGAAACCTCTCATTTACGAATCTATCGACATATATTTTAATCATTGCTTACTGATAAACACTAGAATAAGCGATATTCATTGGGCTAAGAGCATCCCTTCGAGTAAAATAAAAGCTTCGACAGTCGGTTAACCAAAATGAGGATCCTAAATAGCATGAATGATATAGGCCTTACTCTTACATGTAAAGGATCATGTATCCATACTTCAAAATTATCTTGCCAAGCTACGTGGAACAAGTTTACGGAAGTCCACAGAAAAATTGTTGCCAAAATGAGAAGCAAAAATATTATGATAGTATTTGTTGCCAAAATGAGAAGCAAAAATATTATGATAATTGTTAAATACGTTATTCACTAATATCGTCATGACCTTCGAAGTCATGCACAGTAGCAATATCAAACTAAAACAACGAGCAGTGGAGCCCTAAGCTAGCCTTGACTAAACCTTGAAAATTTTAGTGCCACAATGCCTTCTAAGTGCTCTAGCTATCATCCGACTGCAATAATTCTTGCTAAAAGGTGATGGGTTACTTCTACAATATGTCCTTGAATAATACTCTATTCAAAGCTCTAGGTTGAATAACAAGAGCAACTTTTAATTTAGTATGAATCCAAACAATGGATTTAATAAGTTATTGCCAATAACCACACCGGTCGAATAGTGACATCATAGAAATCAAAGAGCAAAACTATTTTGATTTTTTCAAAAGATCGAAAAAGGAAATAATGTTTAAATCTTATTTGCGTTATTCAACCTTTAGGTATATTTTATTTTGTTTCCTCCATAGTCAAATTATCTATTTCAATCCTTAAATTTTAAAGAATAATAATTTTAATTCTAAACTTTTAAAATATTAATTACTTGTTGAGAGCTGATAAACTAAAGTACACCTTTTAAAAGTTCAAAGATCTGGCAGAGTTTTAAGGAATGAAATGGAATTAAAGAAATAGAAAAAATCTAACACTACTCTTCTTTTTGATATCTGATGCAATGTACAGTATCCAGCATTTCATTTTCCTATTTAATTGAGACTTGGTGGAGCCAACATTTTTTCTAAACAGCAATCCAAATAAATACATCTGTAAAAATTGCATAAATGCCTTCCTCGTTTCCAACAAGATTCTCTAGAGAGAAAGATCTTTCTTTTGTCTCTTTAAAAAACTTGTGAATTAAAAATTAGTTACTCTATTGAGATAGAAATCTCAAACCAACAACTTATATAAGAGATACCAATATTTAATCACTTCATAATTCACATCAATATTGACTCCATTTTAAATGGAGATTTTTTGCTCTCATCATGTGATGATTCCAATTTACACGTATCTCAATAATACAAAGAGCAAACAATTTAAATCATAATTAAAAGAGAGAAGCAACAGCAATCCTTTTCACAGTGTTTATTAGTCAAGGCTCACTCAAAATTGTTATCACAAATCAAGTAAAATGAACATCATGATTCATGGCTCACCTACAAATTTCGCCTTATGAGCGGCTGACATTGAATGCGAGCGAGCTCCGTTATGGTGCTGAGTGGGTTGGGGTTGGTCTGTGGTTGATGCTGCGCTCTTAAACGCCCCCCATGGCCAGTGGCATTCAATGCCCAAACCCCATAATTTGTACCAATAATAACTCCACCAACTAAACTCAACTGCCTCCCATCCTCTTCAAAGACTTCTTCCAACAAAAGAGGCACACACAAAAAAACACATCAACATAATTCAAATGGGTGCTTTGAATTCTTCATGACCAATGTACCTTTTATGTGTTTGTCCACTCTCAAACTTTTCCTTCCATGCTTTCCAGGCATTTCTGACTTCATCCAGTTGCTCATTGGGAATGCTTGTGTATTTGTCCAATTTCTCCACCCATTCGTTCCATGGCGCTTTTTCCGTGTCCAGGAAGTTTGTTAGCTCAGGTAATATCGCTGATCTGTAGAATTCGTCCACCGACTTGATGATGTCGTCCGATTTGTTCAATGTGAGCAAGTCGGGCCTCTTTGGAGCTCCTGGACGTTTTCCGTTGGAAAAGCTGTTCCCTCTTAGGACTAAAACCTCTGCTGGTGCAATGGGCAGAACTATTCTAGAAAACTTGGTCAGTGACAATGCTATAATATCTCTTGGGAGCAGTTTCCGCTTCACAGCAACGGCTGTTCCCACCATTTTCCGGATCTGTCCAGGATGTAATAAAAGCAATATTAGTACAGGCCTCTCAATTCAAAACATTAACTACCAGATACTAAATGAAGCCAATTTCATTCTTCATAGAACGCATCATTATTGTTATTTTTGGTAGGAAACAAATTATATTTAAAGCTCATAAGGTGCAAACACAAATGGAAATGAGAAATCTGCCAGAAGGAAGCCCACCTCCCTGCCATTGCCCACATCCCTTCCCAACCCCTTAGATTACTATAAAAGATTCTATAATTTATCTCTGCTCAAATCTGCCAAAGTAAAGCCTTTCTGTACGGTTTATCCATAAGATTCTGGGTTTCTTCATGAGGCTTTGGCCACAATGGAATGGTCTAATGACTCTAATCTCAACCAGAACAGAGAAGAGAGATCTTTTCAAACAAATCAAATTGTCTGAACGGAATTTCTGTTTCCACCTCCTAAACAAGATAACAAGAATTGATTTCAAATAGCGCTAGGTACGTTAAACTTGACATGTTTTATGGTGTTAGCTGGTTCTCTGAATTATGAAACTCAGGGAGTAAATGAAGGTTAGTATGGTAGATATTGAAAAAGTCAAGCTCATAAAGCCTGAACTCATATTTTCTGTCCGCCAACGTACAGGGACCATCAAAACTTTGATGGTCAGAAGTTAAGGCAGTATTTTAGAATTCAATTTCATAATTCATACATCAATCTTCAGCTATTGCATTATTTATTTTGAAGACTGCTAGCACAGGGAAAAAAAACCACTAGGCCACTGATAATTGATTTGCAAAGGGGAAAAAGAGTTCAAGAACTGAAATGCCGCTGCAAAACAATTATTGCGAGGGGAAAAGAAACAGTTATAAAACCAAGTTCTGGACGTGCAAGAACAGGAACCCAACCAAATCCAAGCAAAATAGCCTACAGTAGATGGGGATATATATGACGTATACATAGATAAACTTACAAATTAGAACGAGAAATAGATGGGAATAAGTTATGTAATCAAAGTTTGGGAAAGACTAACTTGATGCAACATGAAAGATTCTCCCCAGATTGAGATCTCAACGAAATCGTATCCAAGAGATGTTTCAAGTTTCCCACAAGAACAGCAAAGAATCTTTCTGAAGTGGGAGGCACCTATGCGATCTTTCTCATCTGGCTCATGAAGCCATCTTGCACGAACACCCTTTTGAAGCTCTGATCCATTTCCAAGCTTACTGCATACTTCAACTGGATCTTCACAACAAACACTTAATCTTGGAGCATGTTGATTTGGCCCCTTGACTCCTTCGACAAAAAAATTATCTTCACTATCACTCTCCTCAAACCCAGAGTTCGACATACCACTAGGTGATACTTCTTCTCCTGAATTATGGCCATATCCAGGAGATTGCCTGGCTCGAATTGTCTTTCTATACTTGGAACGTATTGTATAGTTATGGAAAGGGTGCTCTCCCTGTACCCCACAAAAAAAAAAAAAAAAAATCCACCTATGTTCTTCAATAATACAATACAATTGTCTTCACAATAAAAGTACTAAGCTATATCAAATAATAACAAAGTATGAGCCTTGCTGTGCCCTGCACATATTATCTTCAGGGACAATCTGACCTTTATGTAATTACATGAAGGAGATAGAAACCCACCTGAAAGGAGTTTAATATATCTTTAAACTCTGAAATGTGGTGATCAATTTCAGTAGTGTTAAATTTACTCTCAATTCCAATAAGCTTAGCAGGGAGGAGATAAGAGTACTTCCGGACATCACATTCCCTTCGAGGATCAAAGCTCCTTGACAAGTGACAAAATTGATGTAAATACCACATTGTAGTAAAGGCATAAAAGTTCATCATGCTAATGCTGAAACTTCATTTACTCACTTAAACGAACCAAAGGAAAAACTCAAACTCTCACCTCTGTGAAGGTACGATGCCAAAAACCTTGATATTATCAGGAAGATAAAAGTTTATGTAATTAGCAAGCAAAATACCACAAGGGTCGCCCATCCATGCATTTTCAGGGATTTCCATTTTTAAGGAAATTGTTGTGGCCAAGGAATGAACCTTAAAAATGAAAAATAGAGAAGAAAGAACAAATCAAAACAATCAATAACCATACTTGAGCCATAAATGAGATACAGTGAAGAAGATAATTACTCCTTTATCAGTTCGACTGCTCCTAGCCCATGAGATTTTGTACAGATTTCCATAGTTACTATCACGAATTCCACCAGCCTTAAATATTGCAGCTTCCAATTCTTGTTCGATTGCTACACATCAAAACTGTAATGCTTTAGGACATCCCATCCATGCACTAGCTGGGTAGTTTGGAGTGTATGTATGAGGTTAATTTCTGTGTTGTAATTTGCCAGCAAAAGAAAAAAAGAAACAATATTACCTCACATTCCAGGCATATTATTAACTCAGTATCATCCACATCATAATGAACAGGGGCATTTAACATTGTTTATGGTAAAAGAAACGTGGGAAGGCAAAGAAATGCTTATCTGGGATACCCAAAGAAGTGTGAGAAAATAAGTAGTGTTCATCCAAAGCAGTTAGGTTCTCTATACTTCGGTGTGAAGATGAGGCGTCAGGCGATGTCCAGAATATATTTGATAAATTACAGGAAGAGATATAGAATAGAAGTATCTATAGCCTTCTTCAGTTTGTTATACTTTCTCAGGTAAGAGAAGTGAGATTTATAATAAGAGCAAATAAATAAATGAATACATAAAATGAATGGAAGTCTCAACAGATCCTTAGGGATTAATGTACATAAAATGCTATATCAATGTCAAGGTTAGTTAAATATTAAGTGAGTAATTAGTTTAAGTGTATTTAATCAGCAATTCATCTATTGACTACATATTAAGCTCTACTGTTTCTGTTGGTTAGTACGTAACTAGATCGTTGAATAGTTGTCCTACCTTATACATGGTGACTCTGAGAATATCAGCTCATTATTGCTTACAAAGTTTACATGGTATCAGTTTTGCTGGTACATGTTCTTTTTATAGACTCTTTTAACATGTAACTATTCTGCCACCTTAGTGTCTATCCCTAGTTCTCCAGAAGATGTAACATCCAAACACTTCCCTTTAAAAAGTTGCCTCTTAGATCACATTGTCTTTAATACAGGCAAGTCCAATCGACTAGTAAGTACATCATAGGAAGGCTGAGATAAAAAGTTCCTTCTGAATAAGTTTCAAGCCTAGTTGCAATAAAAGGCTTCAACCGTGAATGCTATGATGATGGATCTTTCAAATATCCACCCACTTTCATACACTTTAGAAATGCTGATAAATCAAGTCGGAATCCAGATTATTGTGCTTGTAATCTAAGACAAAATGATAGTCACGGTTACTTGCCTCAACAATTGAAAGCATTAGGACTCAAGTTGTAAATCTTCCTGCATCTTGTGAAGTGCTTTGAAACAGGTTTTCACTACGAGGTGTAAAGTGAAGGTCATAAAGTACAAGGATCAACTTTTCAAGGACAAAAGTAACACAATTTCTCAATGTAAGACTATTATAGCAAAATGAAATTCTTGCTACAAGTTATGAAAAATGGTAAGCTCCAATAGTCAACTTTTATGTGGACAACAACCTTTGAAATGGATGAATCCCATGGTTTAGCATTAACTTGAATGCTAGCAAAAAGTCTACAAAAACCCAACCTCACAAGATTCTAATGTAAATCCAAATGCATTGGTGGGTTTATAAAACCCAATCCCTTGCCCAAACCC